TTCTTTGAGTTATCTGATCTGATTGGACAGAATCAAGCATTGAGTTTAGAAGATAAATTTGCCAATAGCATCTTCTGGAAGTGTTCTTTGAGTTATCTGATTTGGTTGGACAGAACAATCATTGAGTTTAGAAGATGAATTTGCCAATAGCATCTTCTGGAAGTGTTCTTTGAGTTATCTGGTTTGGTATGAACCCAAAAAACCAATCATTGAATTTGGAAGATGAATTTGCTCATAGTAAAAATAAGGATACTCAATAGCATCTTCTGGAAGTGTTCTTTGAGTTATTTGATCTGGTAAGAACTACAGAACCAATCATTGGAATTAAAAGATGAACTGCATGATTATCTTCATTAAGAAGCTTCTTTTCAAGCTTCCTCTGCTTCTTCCTTTTCCACAAATCATAGCCCAAGTTTCGCCTTTTCTTGTAATTGGGATCATTGCATAATGGCTTCCCATCTTTTACCGGAAGAAATGTGTCGGCAGCCTTAGCCATTTGAGCAGCACATATAAAATTTGTCAAGTATAACAGTTTATTCTCCTCATCAGAATCAGAATTCAAGATTTCACGGTATTAAAAGAACTATCGATATTTGTGAAATCATCTTGAAAGGTCATTTCATAATCAGATGAGTTGTTATCAGAATCAACATGTCACATGCAGGCAAGCTTTTCAGGAGCCTATACTATTGAGTTTTATTCTCAAGAGATTTTATGACAATTATATCTACATTTGTCAAAGATGATAGATTCTCTGATATGAAGAAGAAAGATTTATTGGGTTTCTACAACTGAAGAAATATTCAGTTCACCAATCTGAAATCAAATAACTTAACAATCATGCATCATATTTAGGCATTTGCAAAAATAGGTGCATTTTCATTCATTCTCATCCATGTTGAATTCTGACAAGAATTTCAAAGATTTTAGCAAAGATTTAAATCCATTATTCAATGGATCAACTTTTCCAGTTCGAGTTCATAATGAGAAGAACTCATCTGAAGAAGGAAGAAGAAGTTCATAATGAGAAGAACTTGTTCAACTTTTTGTTCAAATCCATCACTTGATGGATAAATTTTTCCAGAGAAAGTTCATAATGAGAAGAACTCATCTGAAGAAGGAAGAAGAAGTTCATAATGAGAAGAATTTGTTCAACCTTTTACCTGAATCCATCATTTAATGGATCATCTTTTCCAGTTCGAGTTCATAATGAGAAGAACTCATCTGAAGAAGGAAGAAGAAGTTCATAATGAGAAGAATTTGTTCAACCTTTTATATGAATCCATCATTTAATGGATCAGCTTTTCCAGAGAAAGTTCATAATGAGAAGAATTCATCTGAAGAAGGAAGAAGAAGTTCATAATGAGAAGAATTTGTTCAACCTTTTATATGAATCCATCATTTAATGGATCAGCTTTTCCAGAGAAAGTTCATAATGAGAAGAACTCATCTGAAGAAGGAAGAAGAAGTTCATAATGAGAAGAATTTGTTCAACCTTTTATATGAATCCATCATTTAATGGATCAGCTTTTCCAGAGAAAGTTCATAATGAGAAGAACTCATCTGAAGAAGGAAGAAGTTCATAATGAGAAGAATTTGTTCAACCTTTTACCTGAATTCATCAATTGATGGATTATTTTCCGAGAAGTTCATAATGAGAAGAACTCATCTGAAGAAGAAAGAAGAAGTTCATAATAAGAAGAACTTGTTCAACTTTTGCATATTCTATCACAGAAGGAGATAGATTAACATCAGCCTTTCTAGAGAAAGTTCATAATGAGAAGAACTCATTAAGCTTATTCAACCTTTTTAATGACTCTATCACAGAAAGAAGGTCAGCATCATCCCAGCAAAAGTTCATAATGAGAAGAACTCATCTATAGAGAGAGAAGAATTTATTCAATATCTCCATTATGATCAAGTGAAGCCAAATGGATAAAAATTTATTATCTTTTCATCTTGCCCTTCTTGTTAACACAGAATGAGCAAAGAGGGGCAGCTGAAGATACTAATTTTTTACCCATCATTATTATTATTATTATTATTATTATTATTATTATCATTATATTATATATTATCATTATTATTATTATATCATTATTATATTATTATTATTAATATATTAAATATATAAATATTATTAAAAAAAAATAAGGCCCAATTACAACTGGATCGGCCCAGTTACAAACCAACCGGTCCAGATCAAACCAGAAACCCTAAATATGGGTTTCCAGTTAGGGTTTCCTAACCCTAATTTAACCAGTCGCCTCAGCTCACAACCGTTGGATCTGGCAAGATCCAACGGTCCAGATTGCCCCAGATGGAAACCTAGGGTCTGATACCCTAGGACACGCGGCCGCCGTATCTCCCGCCTCCGCCGCTGCCACGTCCCAACCGAAGACTCCAGAAGATAGAATACCAGCTGTCCACGCCATGGCTACTCGTGAGTCACCACTGGTAGTCCGGTGACTCACCGAGACCCCATCTTCGGACCGGTCCGACGGCTACAACGGTGGCTATAAAAGCCACCACCGAACCTGAAAAAAAAAAAAAAGGAAGAGACAAAAACAGGAGAGACACAGAGACAGAAAAAAAGGAAAGAAAAAGAAACAACAGAAACAGAGAGAGATACAAAAACTACCAACGATCCCAGTCCACAACAACACAACAAAACAAAAACAGAAGGAAAAGAGAGGAGAGAAGCTTACCAAAGAAGCCTTGACCATCGCCGGAACGCTAAACATCGCCGGAGAACCGAAAATACCGAAGGTATTTTCATAGATTTACTCCGATAGGAGTCTTTTTGGGGAAACAAAGGTCGGATTCGGTCTTAGGGTGTTTAGATCTACGTTTTGGTAAATTTAGGGAATTTCCGACCACCGGAGGCGGTGGTCGGCGGCAGAATTCGCGGCAGACGGCTGCCGGATTCCCTCCGGTGAGGGAATCTAGAGAGGCCAGAGAGAATTCTGGCTCTCTCTCTGCTTGAGAGAGAAAAAAAAAGGAAATGAAATAGCTGGCCCGAAGGGCCAGCCGATTTGGACTTTTATAGTCCTTCCCGAACGACGTCGTTTCGGGAAGGACTATGCGCGTAATTTAAAATAGTTAAACCCCGTCCGCAGTCCTCCGAACTTGTAAACTTTATATTTTAGTCACTAAATTAAATTTATATTTTTAATTCAGTCTTCGAATTTGAATTTCTTTTATTTTAGTCCTTCATATTAAAATAATATATTTAGGATAATTACAGATTTAATCCCTTAATTTTAATAAGTAATATTTTGATCCCTAGTTTATTTTTTAATTTATTTGATTCTAATATCCTAGTTTTAGATAATTTATTTTAGTCACCAAATAAATAAAATAAGGAAATAACATATTTAATCCCTATAATTTGATTAATTATGAATTAGATTTTTAATTTTATTTTTATTGTAATTTAATCAGTTATTTTATATGTTTTCATTTATTTATTGTTTTAAATATATTGTTTTAGTAGTATTTTTTATTGTTAAATTTTTATTCAGAAATATATAAATAAAATTTTTAAATTTTATTTTATCGAAGAAAAGGACAGTCTTAATACAACTGGATGTCCTATTCTGATATTTTAAAATAAAAATATTATTTAAATTATTTTATCAATATCAAAGAAAGAGTTGTCTTAAGGCACCTAGAATTCTTTTCTGATTTTTAAATAAATAAATATTTTTTTAATTTTGAAATAATAGAATTATAAATTAATATATTTTGACTTTTTAAAATTTAATAATAGACAATTTATAATTAAAAAAGTACCAATTTTGGGCGTTGTAGGGGTGCTAATCCTTCCCTAAACGTAACCGACCACGAATCCCTTTTTATTATTAAAAAGAACGAATTTTTGGTTATAAACGCAGATCAGTTCATCTTTTAACTGATGTTTTCTTAAAAACTCTGTTAAAAGATAATTTTTAGGTATTCGACCTACCTAACCTAAAAGGCCGATGGCGACTCCCAAATTATTTTCAAAACCATTTATTCACATCAATTTTCCCGTCAAACAAATAAATTCGTGCCCGGACGAAAACCGGTTACGACACCGTGTTTGAGCACAAACAAATCAAAAATATAAACGGTAATGTCAAATGATTTATAGGGATATTTGAACCTATATCATTTTATAATTATCTCATGTTAATAAAATAAATAAATTAAAATATATCGTATTAAAGAAGGGAAAAAACTACCTCTAGACTCCAATTAAAACAAAACAACCGAGTAGAAAAGAAGAAAATAAAAAGCTGGTGCACATGCTTATGTGGACGTCACTTTCATGATGCAAAACCGTCCTTATTTTATCACCTCACAGTCCCACCACCACCACCACAACCACAACTGATGCAATATATTCCATTAACCCCCATCGGCAACCACAGTTTTCCTATTTAATCCAACACCGGTACAGTCTGGTATGGCCCAAACGTTTGGTAAAAGTTTTAGCAAGTATTTATATCCAATAATCATCCGAGTTTGAACAGTAAGTGTGGGAAACCAAACGAGTAACCTAACCTACGCTTGTTGTGCTTTGCGAGGGGATTGAGGATTTGCCATATGAACCATTCAATGCAACTTTCCACTAATGGGTTAAAAATTTGGGACTTATAGTGTCCTTTGGAACTAGATAAGCTTCATAAACAGTTATCCGATCGTTTAGCAAAATAATATACCTTGCAAAAGTCACGCAAACACTTGGTGTTGACACTTTACGAAATAAATTTCGACAAATGATTAAAATATTACCAACTAAATGCAATGAAGTGCTAAAATCAAATGGCGCAAGAAATACAAGAAGTCATTGTTTAAAAACGACAAGAAACCATCAACCCCCTCGTGATTAATAAAGAAAGACGTTAACTGCTGAACAAGGAAAAGTCAGAAACGGTAGGAACGAGTGTCTGGCCGTGAACAGACTTGAATAGATATTTCCTCTGCACTAAAGTATTTGGCTTGGCAATTAAGAGGACCTGTTTTTTTTTTATCTTTTCAAATGAAATGTAGCCCTATAGAACATGAATCATAGTCAGTTCGTCAACCAAAGTCTTCCTCTATAACCATTATTTTCCTTCACCAAACCTTGTTCACAGCCGCCCTCGGATTGCAATGGAAAATCTGCTGATTCTTACCTTTGTTTCTGTGCCTTTGTTTCTTCTTCAATTATACCCCGTTTTGGTTCTCTCAGAACCCTATGTTTTCCCAGAAAAATACTTCATCAACTGTGGGTCGGATTCTCCCGAGACACAACTAGGAGTTAAAAAATTTGTGGGTGACAAAAACCCAAACTCCTTCTCTGTTGCCAGTGGCAAACCGATCACAGACACAACCCGGCAGTCATCATCAACCCAGGTTCTTTATCAAACGGCAAGGTTCTCAAGCGATCCTTTTTCCTATGAACTCGACGACATCGTTGACAAAGGCCTACACGTCGTACGCCTCCATTTCTTTCCTTTCGCTCAACTAGGGGATGCCTTGTTTAACGTTACAGCTTCAAGTAAGTCTCTGTTATCCAATTTCAGTGTCAGAAACACTACTTCTTTCCCTGTGATTAAGGATTTCTTTGTGCCAATAAGTTCATCCAAGTTCAAAGTCCATTTCATCCCTTCAAACCAATCATCTTTGGCCTTTGTGAACGCCATAGAAGTTTTCCTTGTTCCAAATCCCAAGGATAATCCAACTCATCTCAGTCCTGCAGGAAGATTGGGTCTTTACCGGGGTTTGCCCTCTCAGTTGCTTAGAACAGTTCATAGAGTAGCTTTTGGCCAACCCCAATCCATTACTGACCCAGAGGTAGTTGCATCAGAATGGGTAGCCGATAGTGACTACATGGTTGTTGGAAATTGGGCAACAAATTGCTCTTATCAAACGAATATTAGACTACGCTATGATGAACAATTTCCAGCAGACAGTGAACACTATAATGCAGCCTCTCAAAACTCTATACCAGATGGTGTCTATAGAACTTGCAAAGAAGTAAGACTAAATGATAGTCAGACGTCGAATACTCGCAACATTACTTGGCATTTCAATGTCAGTAAGAATGCACAGCATTTTGTTCGAGTCCATTTCTGTGACATTATTAGTACATCAGCCAACGTTGTCCAATTCGGTCTCTTTATATTCAATAACTTCACCCAACAAATTGATCCTTACCTATATACTGTCAACACGGCCGTTCCATTCTATTTGGATTTTGTGGTTGACTCGGGTGAATCTGATTTCATTAGTGTTGGCGTGGTTGCTTGGGCTAACTCCACCGTGGATAAGTTTGCTTACCTGAATGGACTCGAGATCATGGAGTTCATCACTGAACCAGGTCAGGAACCAGAGATTAGTGGGCCAAAACGGAAGACTTCAGTGTATATCATAGTTGGTTCTGTCGCTGGGTTTGTTGTTATCTGTTGTACTTTGTTGGTGGCTTTCTTGTTATTTAAGAAACGAAGAAAAGCTAAAGCTTTGGAACCAATGGCTTCATACGGCACCCTTCCTTTCGGAGGAGCAAGCCCTTATATCGGAGTAAGCTCGAAATCTGGCAATCCCCCTCCTGTTCCGAACTTAAACCTGAAGCTAAAGATGCCTTTTGCTGAAATATTAGAGGCAACAAAAAACTTCGATGCTAAGTTCTTGATTGGGGAAGGAGGCTTTGGGAAAGTCTATAAAGGGATTCTACGAAATGGTCTCCAAGTTGCAGTCAAAAGAAGTGAGTCCAAACATGGTCAGGGTCTTCCAGAATTCCAAACGGAAGTCATAATTCTGTCCAAGATTCGACATCGCCATCTCGTGTCCCTGGTTGGATATTGCGATGAAGGGTCTGAGATGATACTGGTTTATGAATTCATGGAGAAAGGGACTCTCAGGGATCATCTTTACAAGTTGCGAGGGAATCCTGAGAAACCATCTTCGTTATCTTTATTGACATGGAGGCAAAGGCTCGAAATTTGTATAGGTGCTGCAAAGGGTCTTCATTATCTTCACACCGGTTCGGATGGAGGAATCATTCACCGTGATGTCAAGTCCACAAACATCTTGCTTGATGAAGAATATGTAGCAAAAGTCGCAGATTTTGGACTTTCGAAATCCGGCCTTCTCGATCCAGATGGGTTTAGCACCGGCATCAAGGGCAGCTTCGGGTATCTTGATCCAGAGTATTTTAGATGCCTGCAGTTTACTGAAAAATCCGATGTTTATTCTTTCGGTGTTGTACTCCTTGAAGTGCTCTGCGCTAGACCAGCTATCATTAACGCGCACAGGAAGGAGGAGATAAACTTAGCCGAGTGGGGAATGATTTGGTTAAACAAGGGGGAACTCGAAAAGATCATTGATCCTGCAATGACTTCCCAGATCAATCCTAATTCATTGAGAAAATTCAGTGAAATAGTTGAGAAATGCCTGAGGCCAACTGGAGCCAGCAGGCCAACAATGCTAGACATCTGCTGGGACTTGGAATACACATTACAGTTACAGCAAACTGCGGTGCACCGAGAACCGCACGAGGACAGCGCCATCGATTCTTCTTTCAACATGTCATCGAGACCTTTTCAGCTATTGCCTTCGAACAACTACCCGATCGAGAAAGCTGATGTGCCCATGGAAAGAGATGATGGTTCAGAAACAACAGAAAGTGGTGTATTCTCCCAGCTGAAGATTGATGATGGCAGATAGTCTAATTCGGCTGGTAATTTGTCTTCTTAGTCATTATCACTGTACTGATGTATGAATCTATCTTCTGCTGTCTAAAAAATTGTGTCTTATAAGTGTATTCATTCGGTGAAGATATTGTCGTATATATTAGCCATGTAATCTGGATATTCTGAAGATAATTTATTTAATTTCGATGTCCATGCAAATAATAGAACATGAATACTAAACGAATTCAAATTTTAAAAAAGATTTATTAATTTAAATTCAAATATTATAAAAATTACATAAAAATCCCACCCCGTCTGTCGATACAAAGTCATATATATCCACCAAAATGCACTTTAAATTATCTTGGACGCTTCCTAGATATTTTTGATAAACTGAATGTATTTTCTAAAGTTAAATTGACAACTCCATGCAAAACTGCTTAGAATTTTCTCAGAGCCTGTTTTAGTTCATAAGTCTACAGTCTCCTTATGTTGACTTGTCTTCAACCTTTCAATTAATCATTGTGGTTCACATAATGTCATTAGACTGAGTGAAAGAGAATTTTCTGCAAAAATACTGCAAATCAATGGAGGATAAGCTTCATCAACCTTTAATTCTTCTTCTTTTTCTAGTCTTCTTCTCATCATTTCAACTACCCTCTTCAGCATACACTCTTCCAGACAAGTATTTCATCCACTGTGGATCCAACATCAACTTAAACATTGCTTCTCGGACTTATGTTGGTAACATGAATTCTAGGCTTGTCTCCTTTACCAAACAGAAGAGTTTTGTCTTTGACAACAAGCAGGCAACAGCGACACCATCAGATCTATATTGAACGGTAAGAATTTTCGGGCAGAAGTCTTCGTACATGCTTCGAATCGACGGTAATGGTTCTTGGTACGTCTTCATTTCTTCAGTTCGATGAGTCTCTCCGCTGCTGTTTCTGATGTTTCAGCTTCTGGTTTCGTGCTCATACATAATTTCACAGTCCAAAACAGTAACAACACTGCTGTAACAAAAGAATTCATTTTAACCATTCCTATAGGCGACTTTTCAATCAACTTTCTACCTCAAGGATCTTCTTTCGCCTACCTAAACGCGATCGAGGTCTTTCCGGCTCCTCCGGACTTCATTAATGATGAAGCTAGCAATGGTATCAAAGGTATTCTCTCTCAAGCTCTGCATACAATTCATAGGATTAATGTCGGAGGCCCTACTCTTACACCGCAAAACGACACTTTATTGAGAACATGGCTTCCCGATGATGGTTATCTCTATAATGCCCTCACTGCAAAGAACAAACAAGGTTTAACATGTCAACTTAATTATTTGGCACCGTTTGACAAATTTTATTGCACCGGCTCCTGTATATATGACTGCCAAAGAGATGAATATAGATACTAGTTGACGATCAAACAACTTCATTGTAGCATGGTCCTATGATGTAACTCGGAATGCCCGGTAATTGGTTCGGGTTCACTTTTGTGACATTGTTGTTAGTCGTTCACTAACTTCCAGTTTCTGCTCTATATAGATAGCTACTTGAGACAGAAAATCAATCCTTATAACATAACGGGGCAATTGGGAACTCCATTTTATGTCGACTTTGTGGTTCATTCTGATGATTCAGGATTCATGAACATCTCCATCGGGCCTGATAGTAGTTCTTTGATGCAAACAGCTGTTCTAAATGGGGTTGAGATAATGGAAATGATGGGATTATATGACCTTGTTACTGTTAGTGTTAAGCCGAAACAGATGTCTGTCTTTGTTATCGTCGGTCTGGTCCTTGGAGGACTAGTTCTTGTCTGCACCTTTGGAGGTCTGTTGTGTATTAGATCAAAATGCAGGAAGTCGAAATCCGTTGAAACTCCTGAGTGGCAACCATTAACTGCCTATAAAGGGAGCACTCACAGTAACTCCACAGTCAAAACTAAGCAGAGAGAGCACCACCAATGCCTCACCTGTCCCTGATTTGAATCTGGGTTTGAAGATACCATTGTTTGAGATTCAGTTAGCCGCGAGCAACTTTGATACGAAGTTGCTGATTGGTAAGGGTGGATTCGGTGATGTCTACCGAGGAACTCTTAGAACTGGCATCTAAGTGGCTGTGAAACGAACAAAGCCAGGGTCAGGTTCTTCATCTCCATCTCGTTTCCTTGATCGGATATTGTGACGAAATGTCTGAGATGATCCTGGTGTATGAGTTCATGGAAAAAGGAACTCTTAAGGGAACACCTATACAACTCAGAACTGCCATGCTTACCTTGGAAGCAAAGGCTTGAAATTTGCATTGGTCCCACAAGGGGACTTAATTACCTTCACAAAGGTGCAACTGAAGGCATCATTCACCGTGATGTCAAATCGACAAACATCTTGCTTGATGAGAACCTTGTGGCGAAGTAGCCGACTTTGGCCTTTCAAGATTAGGTGGTCCTGATCAATCCCTGTTAGCACAGATGTTAAAGGAACTTTCGTTATCTCGATCCAATTTCAGGACACAACAGCTGACCGAAAAATCCAATGTTTTATTCGTTCGGTGTGGTTCTTCTCAAGGTGCTGTGTGCAAGGCCAGCTATCGATCCTACACTTCCAAGAGACCAAGTCAGCCTGGCCGAATGGGGACTGCTATGCAAGAAAAAAGAACTGTTAGAGCAGATTATCGATCCCTTCATTAAACTTCAGATATATCCCAACTCATTAAGGAAATTTCCAGATATAGTGTAGAAATGCCTGGAAGAAGATGCTGCTGATAGGCCTACCATGAGTTATGTGGCATGGGACTTGGAGTATGTTTTTCAGCTTCAGCAAACTGCAGTTGCACAACAGCCACAAGAGGACAGCATATCCAATGTTTCCTCCATGTTCCTGGTATCCGGTGTCCAGCGTTTGCCTTCAATGACTGCTCAGTTTCACAGCTATGGTACGTCCATTATAAGGGAGGATGACTCTGATTCAGTCCCATCAGCAAGTGAAGCTTTCTCACATTTAAGAATCGATGATGCCAGGTAAACCAATCGGGTTACAAGCCACCTCTTTGCCAGTTTAATGTACCTCAAGTATTATCTGAAATCAAATTTCCAGTTCTCTATTAATGTTTGAACTAGTTGAGTTCATAGATTTACCGGATACCAGCTAGTTGAATTGTACTACAAGAGCTTGTTTCTGAGATATAAAGGGAAACATTTAAAATCTTATGAATATTCATATGCCTCTGTAGGCCTAACGTACCATTTTTACTCGTTCTTCTTACCTTACCAAAGTGAAAAAAGAGAAGGCATTATGATGGAAGAGATAACTTGTGTCGCAAGACAGTATTCCTGGATTTATGAAACTAGGAAGGATGCATCCTGGATAGAGCATCCCCAGCTAACAGTTATCAGCCTTCTTCAGGGAAAAGAATCCCGGATCACGAAAATCCGGAAATAGGTGATCGGTCAAAACAAAGAGTGTTTTTGCAGCGCTTATACCAATCACTCGGTTTAAGATCGAATCTGATTCATTATGCTTTACTTCGTTTACAATGCAAACGCACCACAAATCATGTGGCTCTGATATTTGTTAGTAATTTACAGAGAATATAAGAAACACAGCCTGTTTCGAAGTTGGAAAGGAAACAACAAAGCCAAAAACACAAGAAAAATAGTGTTTGCAACTTATAAAATACTCTATAATTCGGGAAAAATAATAATCTCTTTTTAACATGAAATATACATCCTAAGAAACCGTAACAATTTTGAGACATTTGCAATGACATCTACCAGACAGAATCAATAAATCTTCTAAAACTGTACCCATAAATACAGAGCTTATAACATATACCACACCCCTCACCAATTACAAACCAGAAGACCTGGGAAAAAAATGAAGATGAATCTGTAGGATAAATCACTAATGACCAGGGCCTTTTCTACTAGGTCCAGCAGCCATATCAGCCACCACTAGCCTCCAA